TGCGTGCGCGCGCGTGCGTGCGTGTGGGGGTGTGTGTGTGTGTGTGTGTGTGTGTGTGTGTGTGTGTGTCGCAGACTGCCTGTAACAGACCACAGAAGGCAGGACAGCCTGTTCCAAAGTGGATATTCCAGTCATTCTTCCTTTGCTGCAGCAAATATATTTATTCTGCTTTTTCATCCCTTGAAGGCTGATTATTTCACAATCTGACATATTTTCCACTGTGGTCTTGGTCCGCATAAACTGTGAGAGAGAAGAAAATAATTGAATCTCATAATATAATGTTTGATTAACTATGTTGTAATGTTCAGATTTTTTTGTCTTTGAATGTAAGATCAGTGAATGGAGCAGAACGTCAGCAATTAATCAGCCTTTCACACTGTAAAGAAAGGAAAGCACTTGACACTTTTTTTTTTGGCACTGCAAAATTGTGAATCCCTGAGCACACTCTCCATGTTGCTGTGGCCTCGACACACGTTACCTGTACTTCCCATCATCGAATCATCTTGTAGCAGAGCTTCTTGCTGTCTCATACAGCAACTTATTTTCCAGATGACCTCATTTGCCACCTCTTTTCTCTGGTGCTACGGGTTTGTGGGTGTGCATCACTGTGTGTTTCTATTCGAATTATTCAGCTATAACCATGGGTCTGTTTAGATGATTTATACCTTTTTTACTGAACAGTTTAACATTTGTCTTTTTGCAGTTCTACAATTTACACACTGCAGTGTGATGTGTATATTCTGTGTAGCGCACAAGGTATGCATATATTATAAATAACAATGTGTCTAATTGTTTGCACTTGTTTGAATTAGTTATTTTTTTTATCAAAAAGACATTCATTAAAGAAAAATTTTGTTTATATGGGTTAAAAGATATAAAAGCTAATGATGGAAGCAGGCGGTTGATAAAATAAATGGTTAGATTTGATATGGAACAGAACTATTCAAAAGCACAGGATTAGTGGCTTACAAGCCATGGGCACTCTGTATAATCTTAGTTAGTAGCTATTACTGGCCCGAGTGTGCTTAAGCAATAATACGGTGCAGCCAAAAGCCTCTACCTGTGCAGTAATTGACCTTGGCAGCACCTAAGCCGCATACAGCACCCATTAGCACTGAGCACAGAAAGCACTGGCGAAACACAAACACCCGGTGCTTCTTACTGGTAAACAAGACATTGTGAAGGCAAAATTCTGAAAAATCTTGACATGTATCAAATTTGTTGGGGAGGAACGCCATTCATTTGGAGGGTTTAATTAATTTCATAAGCAACTTTTATGTGCTGAAAGCTACGTGTTACTGCTAAGACTCAATGATCCTTCTAAAAATGTTTGCCTCCCAGAAATAGAAAACGGTTCCATAAAATTCTCTGCTTTCAGGGACCACATTTCACTTCCATCTCTGGGACCCTGCCCATCATTCGCCTGAGAGCACTTTGCTAAATAGCAATCCTCCAATGAGATGCCAGCACCACATGGCAGGCTGGGATTGGCTGGAGGGCATGAATGATGCATTTTAGGGGAACCAATGGGTTGTGACTGAGGGCACCTGAGTCACCCTGTCTGTTTCTTCGCTCTGTCATTCGCCTGTTGTCCTACACTGACACGTGCACGCACGCACACACACATAAAGAGACACCCTCTTTGAGTATATTTAAGCCTGCCAATTTCAGTGTGGAAACATGCTCCCATCTTCAGCCCAGAAGTAAAACAGGTGGCAGAGGAGGGAATACGGACTCCTCTTGCCTCAGTCCTCAAAGAATGCAACATACATGCACATAACACACACACACACACACACACACACACACAGGTTGTTGCATGGAAATAGTGATAATATTCACAAAGGATAAGTAGGAGAATCAAAATACCTTTTACTACAGACCATGTGATGCACGCGCACACACACACACACATCTCCTGTGTGACCCTGGGTGTTCCTCAGTCTCCAACAGAAAATGTGCAGTCACACTCTCTCTGCTTCACACAAACAAACGCACACACAGGCCTTCAGGCATTCGCAGTGACAGACAAACAAGTGCCAAATGTCATATTTTGTGGTACGCATACTTCCCTCGAAGGTATATGTTAATCATAAGTTGCAGTTTAATGAATCATGTTCCCTTATCAGTAATTGTTTAAGCTTTTGACTACAGTGTG